AGAGAAGCAGGCTTGAGGAGTAGCCGGGGCTCTCCAGCAGGCAGTGGGTGTGGGTCTGGAATTCAGGGGTGGTCCTTGGGAGGGCGAGTGGGTGAGAGAAGCAGAGATGATACCCTAAGGCACAGCCGGGCGCTGTCCTACACGGTAGTGGCTCCGGCATTCTGCTCCTCCTCCCCCGGGGTGCCCAGAACAGTGTGAGCGTCGCTGGGCTGCTAACAGAAGTTGTTCACTTCGCCCCAGAGGAGTATCTTCCCCCATGCTCCCTTTCCCCTCATTTAGCAGGAGCAGTAGAAAGCTGGCTTTATATGAAGCTGTGCCTGTCTCAGACCCCAGGAATTCCTCTCAGTCTTGAGTTCTGGAGAAAGGAAGAGGGCCCCAGGTCCTCGTCCCAAGCTGAGCACCTGGTTTTTCCGTCGTAGGCACAGGAGGAAGCCCGGCGGAACAGGCTAATGAGAGACATGGCCCAGCTACGACTTCAGGTAGGAAGTCAGGCCTGCGTGCATCCTCTGCTCTTGGTGCGGTCTTTGCCTGACCCCACAGCCGCAGCCCCCCTGCTGCATGGCGCTGTGGCCTTCCGCTCTGCCCGGGTTCCTTCCTGGCCTGGGGCTCACTCTCCCGTTGTTCAGTCTACACTGACCCTTAATGCCCCATTCTGTCTTTACTTCTGTCTCTTTTCCTTCTCTGTCTCTTACCCTTAACCCTTGTTTCTGTCTACTCTCCCTCCAAAGGAGCAGTTGGTAGGAGTGCCCTGTCCCCTTTGGCATCAGGAGCCTCTTAAGAGCCACCCTGAGTGCCATTCTTTCCTGCTGTCCCTGCCACCCTACCTTCTCTCACCAGCTCGAGGTATCTCAGCTGGAAGGGAGCCTGCAGCAGCCCAAGGCGCAGTCAGCAATGTCTCCCTACCTCGTCCCTGACACCCAGGCCCTCTGCCACCACCTCCCTATCATCCGCCAGCTGGCCACCAGTGGCCGCTTCATTGTCATCATTCCAAGGACAGGTGAGCCTGTGGGGAGAGAGTGTGGCTGAGAGAGACTCTGCGCGTGGGGCTGAGACTCCTTTGGGGACCCAGTTTACACTGGCCTTGGTCAAGTCGTGCTCCCTCGGAACCTCAGGCACTTCATCTGTGAGATGGACATGGCAGTCTCTTTAAACCCTGACTCCCAGATAGTTGGGGGAAACGGGTGAGAAAATCTGAGTGAAGGTACTTGGTAAATCGCCAAGTGCCTTGCTAGCAGGTAACACTTGAACGGACCTCGGGTGCCCTGGAGGAGACAGAGGGTCCCGTTCCCCGCAGCGCGTGCTGGAGTGAGCTCGGATGCTTCCTGCAGGGCTCCCGCCGCAGCACGCTGAGCGCCTCTCTTCCGTCCCCCCCCACCCCACCTTGCTCACCAGTGATCGATGGCCTGGATTTGCTGAAGAAGGAGCACCCAGGGGCCCGAGACGGGATCCGATACCTAGAGGCGGAGTTTAAAAAAGGAAACAGGTGAGTGCCAGCCTCGCTGGCCCCGTGTCCCTCTCCCGTAATTAGATCTCAGGGTCTTAGTTGCTGGAATAAAGTGTGATCAGGGGTCAGGAGCCCTGTATGGCCGTTTGCCTCTGGGGCATAACGTGAGTCCAGCATCACCAGGAGAGGGGAGCACACCCCCAATTTAAGGAATGGGCTGGCTCCTTTGCAGGAGTATCTCCTGCTTTAGGGTAGGGACTGGTGGTACAGTTCCCAGGTTGGGAGTGCCTTCCTTGGGGGACCCCCTGCGGGCCTCCCCCCTGCCACTGAAGCCATCCGGGGACCAGCAGATGGCAGCATGTAGGTGGTGAGGCCATGGCCTCTGGGGCCAGAAGTCGCCTGGGCGGTAGGTGTAGGACAGGAAGAAAGCTCCACAGCCCCTGCTAGCGTCTGCCCTTGCCTGCCAGGACGCTGCACAAAGCCAGCTTGTTTGGACCTTGTTTCCAGAAGCTCTGACTTGAAAAGCAGCTGCTGCTTCTCTCCTCCCAGCCCCCTCCCGCGGGAGGAACCAAAGAATCGATGCTATCAGAAGGAAAAACGAGCTGGCTCAGTGGCCAGGAAGCTACTTCAAAGTGGCTCCAGGCAGACCTGTGATGGAAGAGACGTGCCCCCTGCCCCCTCCTGTAAAACAGGCCCCCCGAGCCACAATAGCCTGCTTTGTACAAGGTGCTCTCCTTCCTCAGCCCCCATCCCTACTCTCCTGTCTCCTTTGTAGGTACATTCGCTGCCAGAAAGAAGTGGGAAGGAGCTTTGAGCGGCATAAGCTGAAGAGGCAGGATGGAGATGCCTGGTGAACATTCAGCCCCACCCCAGAACCTCAGGCCGCCTACCTTGCCCCACCCCGCAGTGCCTCAGCCTGCCGGGGGCCCCCTGCAGCTCTCGCCCTAAGAGGCTTGGGCCTGGTGTCTGCACTCGTCGTACCTTTGCCCTCTCCCCATAGTGTGTCCTCCCATGCTAGCTTATAGGCCCCACTGCCCTGACTGCCCATTTCTCTGGCTCTCCTGGTGTCTCTCCGTCCCTGGCTCACCTGTGCCCAGGAGGCTGTGCTCATGCTGGGGCTTGGCTCACCTTCCCTCCTCCCCACCAGGACTCTCTGTAAGATCCTGGACAGCTGCAAACAGCTGACTCTGGCCCAGGGCACAGGTGAAGAGGACCCAAGTGGCATGGTGACCATCATCACAGGTCTTCCACTGGACAACCCCAGTGTGCTCTCAGGCCCCATGCAGGTGGGTCGTGGGGCGAGGCCGGAGGTCTGTGGGATGGGGACGAGGCACCAGAGTAGGTGCCCCCCTCAGACCCTCTATACAGTGGCTTCTCCTTCTCCGTCACCCCTTCCCCACCCCTCGACGAGTTCCTGTAGTTCAGGGGTCAGGCTCTCCCCCTCTATCTCCCCCCACCCCCATTCCATAGGCAGCCCTGCAGGCCGCTGCACATGCCAGTGTGGACATCAAGAATGTTCTGGACTTCTACAAGCAGTGGAAGGAGATTGGTTGAGACTGGCGCCTGGGCCCTGCAGTGGGGCTGACTCCAGATCTCTCCTGCCCACCCTGGGTAGTCACCCCACCACACGCAGACTCGGCACGCACACAGGAAGGCAGCCCAGCTGCACGCCGGCTGCAGGGAGGGCCCATGCACGGCGGGAGGGCGGGGCCCCCACTGCTAAGATGGGGACGGCAGGACAGTAAGGACGTGCTTGGAGCAGGAGAGGCCTGTGGGCCCCTAGCCAGCCTTCCTGCCTCAACCACCCCCCTCGTCATCCCCAGGGGCAGGTGGCAGGCAGGGATGTCTGCGTGTCACAGAGTGGTTCCTGGACCTTTGAGGGGTAGGGACAGCAGAAGGGTCCTTCTTCCTCTCCTGAAACACAGGGTCCCTGGGGCCAGGAGCTAGGACCCTCCAGCCCTGGAGGAGGAGTTGGCTAACACCAGATGTCGGGGTGTTTCTCTGCAGACCCTTCCCCTCCTCGAGGGACACCCATCCTCGCATCTCTTTCTCTCTGGGCGCAGGGCAGCTCTGGAGCCTTGGGGACTCTTGAGGCAGAGGGGCCTAGAGCTGTCTGCACAGTAGCAGGGCCAAGGCTTGCATCCCTTCCTCCAGCCATAGGGGCTGCCCACCCAGGTGCCACTTCTGCTTTCTGTCTCCCCCCATTGAGCTTCCAGGGCAGGGAGCGGACCTCACTGATGGCTGCAGGCAGTCTGGTCTGTATGCTAGGGAGGCTTCCTGTGCCCATCAGCCCCACAGTCACCATGCCTTGTGCTCTTGGCTGCTGTGCTGGGACAGAGTGCGATGCCTGTAAGAGGAGAGTGGGGCATAGTTTGAGGCCACCATCCCCTTACTCTCTAGGGAGGGGCCTGCGTTCAGGGGGGCAGCAGAAAGGAGAGGCTGCCCAGTCAGGGGCCCTCTGTCCTGATGGGTTTCCCTGCTTCTGGCCTTTCCCAGGGTGGAAGGCCTGGTGGCACGAGCATGGGGCTAGCTTTGTGTTGAGATGAATGTGCGAGCAGAGATCAGGGATAGCTCAGGGCCATGAATGGAGCAGCCAAAGCCGGCTGTGCGTGGGAGGCTTTGGCCAGAATTGCCTCAGCCCCTCCCCCTTGGGCCAGCTCCTCTGGATGTTGGGGGTGGGGATCTCAGTTCTGCGGTCCCCCACCCAGCTGCCCAGGCTGTTCTCAGAGGAGATCAGGCTTCCTGCATCCTTCCTCTCAGACAGCAAGTCTGGGACAACCTGGGGAGAGTTGTGTTGCTCCCCGCACCCAGCCCCTGGCAGAGACTGAGACTGAAGCATCACTTAATAAAACCCCCGAAGCCCACTCGTCTCCTGGTGCCTTTCTGTGATTTTATTGGGACCTTGGCGATTACATGCTGAAAAGGCATTTTGGAAAGGTGACGGGTGAAGGCATATTTTGAAGACAGTGCTGCCTGCACATGGTTTGCTGTCTCCACCGGGGTCCTCTGAATCGGAGAAACATCCTCATGGGACGCCAGCCTCCGAGTCAACTGTCCCTGGCCCCTTGCAAGGACTGGCACCTCAAGTGTCTCTTCAGGCAGTGACTAGCCTTGCTTGGAAGGTCCCTCATGGTTGAATCAACTTTTACCAAAGACATTTCTTCTGGACTCATCTGCCCAGCACCAGGTGCTGACAGGCAGTGAAGCACAGTGGGGTGGTTTCTGAAAGCCGACATCAGAATTCAGATTCTCTGTCGAGTGTAAGGTGAAGAGACATCCTCAGCTCCTGGGAGAACCTGGAAGTGGTGCAGGCGCCAGGAGCTTCCCAGTGCCTGTGGGCATCTTGGCTAGGGCCCTGGCCTGTTCTGGCCAGTTTGATCATGGGGGGGTTGGGTCAAGCTGGAGGGGCTGGCTGTGTGCAGGAGGCTGAGTGAGCTGCCTGCTAATGGAGCCGGGCCACCCCGTGCTGCTCCCGGAGGCTGGACAAGGCTGGGATTGTTCCAGAGCTCCCTTTTGTCTCCCTCTCCCCGCCCAGGCCTGGCCTGCCTGCCCGCCACTTCTCTCCCCTCCCTCCCTTCAGTTGGCCGCAGGAGCCTGGGACTCCACCCGGGGAGCTCCTTACCCACAGGCCTGCTGACCCACCGGCTTAGGAGCGCCCATCAAGCTCTGGGTAAGGGAGCTCACCTGGGGCTCTAACCCTGTTCTGGGGGATGAGAGGTAAAGTGCCTACTCCAGCCCCTCCCCATTTCCAGAGACCTCTAAACCCTAGTGCTCAGGGAAGGAACTTAAGGGGACCTAGGCACCAGCATCTTCCTCTCATACCCCTCCGGATACCGGGGCAGCATTCAGCATAGATGAGAGCACCCTCATCCCCAGGTGGAGGGAAAGGGGTATCCTGGGAGGCCTCATCTAAAAGCTCTACCAGGGTGCAGGTATTCGGGATTAGGTCTGCCTGTGCCCAGCAGGTTCCCCAGCACCCAACTTCAGGGGCAGAGGGCTTCCAAACTGTTGGAAGATAAGAGCAGAGGCTTGGGGAACTGATTGGTGGTGTGAGACCCAGAGTGCATGACACACGGAGGGTGAGGCTGGCGGCAGGAAGAGGGGCGGGGCTAGGCTGTGCAGAGAAAGTCGGCCCAGGGAGGTGGAGTTCCCCCTCCCCCTGGGGCGGTCCCCCCCCCTCCCCCCGCCGCCTAGCTGGCCCAGCCCCTCTACTTGTGCCAAGGAATGTGCCTGGGAGAGGCAGCCTGAGAGGCGGGTGGAGCAGCAGAGCAGCAGCCACCGGAGGCAGCACACAGGTCTGGGGCTGAGGGACATGGGGCTCAGGAGGGACAGGGGCACTGGGGCACAAGTATAGTCCTCGGAGGAAAGCCAGGCATCCATCCCCCTAAGTTCTTGCCCCGCCAGCTGAGCATCTGGCCTCTCCAGGAATTCTTCCCGAGAGCCACAACTTTTCTATGCTCAGCCCAGGCACTGTAGGCCAGGGGGCTTATGCTGGTGGGGTGGCTGTGTGTGCATGCTTGTGCTCTCGATGCACACCTCTGCGCATCGGGGCTCTCTGGGGCTTGAGGGGGCTGGATTATGGTCGGGGGTTAACTAACTGAAGCAGCCTTTACACTCAGGCTGGGCTGAGGCTGACCAGCCTTTTTCAACGGGAGTACCAAACACCCCCAGGTTAGGATCGGGAGCAGTTGGGGTTATGTGGTTTGATGACTTGGGAAGCTGAGCCAGGCCCCCCTGGCCTGAAGGAAGCAGCTTGGTGGCCAGCTACCACCCCACGCCCACGCACACACACAGCCCACCCCGAGACTCGGTGACAAGGCCCAGCCAGGACCTGGTGAAAAGGGGGCTGTGGATGGTGGGACAATACCTGACCCCTGCCCCCTCCCACTTTGTCTCTAGGTCAGCGTGGAGGTGCCGGGCCACCATGCTCAGTCTCAAGCTGCCCCAGCTCCTTCAGGTCCACCAGATCCCCCGGGTGAGGGGCTCCACCCCCAACTCTTACTCCCCAAGGGACTGACTGGGGCAGAGGGTCTTTGCTTTTAGCAGCTGGGGAAGCCCCTTCTGCAGGCTAACTCAGCCCTCCCGCTCCAGCGTGAGACTCCCTCTGCTCTCTGAGGACAGGCTCCTTAGAGCCCGGGACGCTCCTTCAGCCAGAGTCCCCTTGGCCAGAGCACCATCTGGCCCGCCTGCTCCTCGCGTCCTGTATTAACCCCCTAACCCGACTCTTCTGGTTCTCATCTGCTTTCTGGGTGTTGCAGGCTGTAGCCGGATGGGGTAGGATTAAGTTTGGCTTTGGGGCCACTGTGACATCCAGCCCATTTTCTTCAACCCTGCTTCCCGAGAGCTCTCGCAGACGGAAAGGGCCCGGCGCAGTGACCCCTCTCCTCGTCCCCACCCACCACAACATAGGTGTTCTGGGAAGATGGCATCATGTCTGGCTACCGTCGCCCTACCAGCTCGGCCTTGGACTGTGTCCTCAGCTCCTTCCAGATGACCAACGAGACAGTCAACATCTGGACCCACTTCCTGCCCACCTGGTGAGGGAGGCTGTGTCCCAGGTCGCGGTCTTGAGCGCAGAGGGGTACTCAGGCGGTCAGGGGCCGTCCAGGATGCCTGCTGCGGCGGGGGTCGCGGGGTCGGCGGCGGCTTGATCACACGCCCGCCGCAGGTACTTCCTGTGGCGCCTGCTGGCGCTCGCGGGGGGCCCTGGCTTCCGGGCGGAGCCATACCACTGGCCGCTGTTCGTCTTCCTGCTGCCCGCCTGCCTCTACCCCTTCGCGTCGTGCTGCGCGCACACCTTCAGCTCCATGTCGCCCCGCGCGCGTCACATCTGCTACTTCCTGGACTATGGCGCGCTCAGCCTCTACAGCCTGGGTGAGCCCGGCGGGCGCGGCGCGGGCGGGGACACGGCGTGCGGCGCGCGGGCTCGACAGGGCGGGGCCCGGCGCGCGGGCTCAGCAGGACAAGGGCGCGCCCTTCGGGCCTCAACACACACGCTGTGCCCCACTAGGTTGTGCCTTCCCTTATGCCGCCTACTCCATGCCGGCATCCTGGCTGCACGGCCGCCTGCACCAGCTCTTTGTGCCCGCCGCCGCCCTCAATTCCTTTCTGTGCACCGGCCTCGCCTGCTACTCCCGGTGGGTTCTTGGCCAGTGGTGAAGGCAAAGGCAAGGCAGAGGGACGGGACACCCAGGATCATTGGGAGGCCAGCGATCGTATGCCTGTGCGTCACTGTCCTTGAACATTAGTAGCAACGTTGTTTATTGAGGACTATGTGCCCAGGGGCAGCTCGCATATATACCTGCGTTGTCCCCTTTAATTTCACAGCCACTTAGGAGGCAGGTGTCCTTATCCCCATTTTACAGATGTGCCCATCTCTAGAGCGGTCATGTGCTCTAAGGGCTTTCATAGCCACTAAACTACACTGATGTTCCATCTTGGCCAAAGGCCCCCTACCCTCCTCTGACCACCACCCCAGCACTGGAACAGTGACCGGTCTTTCCCTCCTGTTTCCCAGGTTCCCCGAGCTAGAAAGCCCTGGGCTCAGTAAGATCCTCCGCACAGCTGCCTTCGCTTATCCCTTCCTGTTTGACAACCTCCCTCTCTTCTACCGGGTAACGGTGCCTGGGGCCCCTGTAGGCTGCAGCTTTCCAGTCCTGACCCCCAGTGCCCACTCCCAGTCCTGGCACCTCAATCCCTGACCCTGGCCTGCTGCGCACTCTCCAAGTCCACCACCCAGCCCTGCTGTGCCCACCCCCTCATGCTCACCAGACCCACACATCCGTGTCTCCCCACAGAGCATCCCCCCCCACCAGCCCTGCTTTTCCTTTGCCAGCTTGGACTGTGCTGGGGCAGGAGCCACAACTGTGGGCAGGAGGTACTGAGCACCAGCCATGTCTACCACCTCCTCTGCGCGCTGCTTACTGGCTTCCTCTTCGCCTCCCATCTGCCTGAGCGGCTGGCACCAGGACGCTTTGACTACATCGGTGAGAGCAGGCCTGGCCTGGCCCAGGAAGGGGCAAAGGGAAACAGCTTCCCAGAGCACAGAGTGAACTGAGTGAGGGGCGCCACAGCCAGAGGGGGGAGCCACTGACGGGTCCTCAGGGTCTGGGGCCTAACTCCTTCCCTCCCTTCTCAGTTATCAGCAAAACTAGCAGCACATGCTGGGAGCTTTACCCATGTCAGCTCATTCACTCCTTCAAATAACTTGGAATCAGGTTTTCCTATTCCCAGTTTTAGGGGAGGCAGGCCCAGAGGATGGGTGACTTGCCATGGATCACAGGGTGAAGCCAGGTCAGCCCTGGGAATGGGGTATGTACTCTGACCTGCCCACCCTCCTGACAGGCCACAGCCACCAGCTATTCCACATCTGTGCTGTGCTGGGCACCCACTTCCAGCTGGAGGCAGTGCTGGCCGATATGGGATCCCGCCGAGCCTGGCTGGCCATGCAGGAACCCGCCCTGGGTCTGGCAGGCACTGTGGCCACACTGAGCTTAGCAGTGGCCGGTAATCTACTCATCATTGCTGCCTTCACAACCTCCCTATTTCGGGCCCCCAGTACCTGCCCCCTGCTGCAAGGTGGCCTGCTGGAGGCGGGTACGAAGGACAAATACCAGTGAGGCCCCATCTCTATGCCTACCCTGGAGGGAGACAGGGGCCAGGCCTGGTGCTGCAGAGGAGCCTGATAAAGTGGCACACTTCTGAGCCTGGAACCAAGAGTGGCTGAAGAAAGAGTGCAGGGGAGAGAAGGCAGAGAGGAGAGGAGCTAGGGATGCTGGCAGAGAGCAGGCTGGTCAGTGCAGGTGCTCTGGAAGGGACTGGGGGAAGTGCTGAGGGTCTGAGAGGGGAGGTGCATGTGTCTAGGCTGGGATGGAGAGGTGTTGGGGTCCCTTTGTCTGGTCCCATTTCTGGTGCTCCTGAAGGCTCTGCTTAGCCCAGGGAAGAACTAACACAACTAACTAACTACCCTGAATGCTTGTTAACCAGGCCGGGAGGCCCACTACTGCCCCCCCACCCGACTAGGCAGTGCTGTGTGCTCTCTGTCCCGGCCAGAGCCATGTACTCAAGGTGACTTTGGGGTCTGGATCTATTTGGGTGTCCCATGGTGCAGTGTGCTGAGGTGGGGCGAGGGGTGCTGGGCTAGAGGTGGGAACCCTAGGTGGACTTCAGGAAGCCACCTTTAATGCTTCTGGAACAAGGCAAGTACAAACCAATAAATCAACAGACTCTGAGAAACAATGCCTGGGTCTGAAGATGGTAAAGCTCTCCACTCGCCGTTCTCCTCTGCGACTCCACAGTTGGACAAAGAATCACAGCCCCACTGATTCCTCTCCTGAGTTTATTCTGGAGCAGCTGGGATGATGGGGATGCCACACCTCGGGGCAGGGCAGTCAGGGCGAGCGGAGGGGAAGGGGTGCTGGAGAGGAGCTGGGGCTGGGGCTGGGCCAGCAGGGGCTGCAGGCTCTAGGCCAGGCCGTAGAAGCGCCGATAGGCCTCTTGGAAGCCGATGTGGTCAGCCAGCTCATCGCAGTCTGGGTTGAGCTCACACACCTCCCTCTTGGGCTCCAGGGGATCCGGGTAGGGGGCTGGGGCTCTGCAAGCCCAACACAGGGGCATCAGCCTCCACACGGAATGCCTACCCGCTCCTCCCCCTGCACACGGCGCTCCTGAATCCTTGTTCAGAGTCGCCCTGGGGGAGAAGGCCCTGCTCTCCCCCAGCAGCCCCCAGAGGCTACTCCTCCCAGCCCATCTTGGAGATGCAGGCCCTGGCCAGCATCTCCTTTCCTCTCACCCCAGCCAATGCCAATAATCCAGGTAGCGCCGGAGTCTCTTCACTACCTCACTGCCCTCCTGCTTGGACACGAAGGCTGCAGAGCAGAGGGGCATAAGTCAGGTGGCCCCTAAGTTTGGGGAACAAGGGGAGCAGGCTGGCCTGCCTGGCAGACAGGACTGGCAGGAGGGATAAGGGGACAGAAGCACCCAGAGTGAGGGATTCTGGGGGCGGGCAGCACCACTGGGTGCTCTGGCCTGTGGCCCCCGCCCCCATTGGGCCCAGCCTCTTACCTGCATCTTTGCCAGACTCTGCACTGCTGGGCTTTGCACCTGCGAAAGAAAGGGGCCCAGTCACCCTGCTCACCCCAGGGCCCACCCTTCTTCGCCTGCCTGTCAGCCTGCTCTTCCCTCCTCAGTCCCTAAGAAGGGGGCTGGGGATAAATGGACTGAGCCCATGGAAGGGTGGTGAGCCCGCGGAAGGGCTCGCCAGTGGAAGAATGAGGAGGTGAGGCCCTGGTACTTCCCCCTCGTGGCTCCCACTGGCAGTGTAGAGGGGCATCACCCACCTGCCAGGCCAGCGAAGCAGGGGACAGCCAGGGCCAGTAGGGTGAGGAGCAGGAGGGGCCTCATGGTGTGTCTGCCAGCTGGTGGGCTGCGCTGCCGCTCCGCTCAGCTGGGCTGCTTCTCGCAGCCTCCGGCACTGTTTATACTCTCTGGGGTGTGCCCAGTGAAGGTGGGGGTGCCCGGCCACGGTGCAGGCGGGTCATGGGGGAACCTGCCAGCGCTATTTGGGGTCCTCCGCCCCAGCTCTCTGGGCCAAATCCCAAAGGATGTGGTTGGAGCTGCGGCTGCCTGGGCAGGCCCTGGGAGGGAGGGCTGCAATCTGAGACTACCAACCTCTGGGCATGGCTCCTGGCCCGTCCCCAAAGGGGCAGCCCCAGATCCCTGAGCCCATACTCTCCTTCTGAGCCCTGGCCCCAAGCCTCAGTTTGAGCACCAGCTGGGCAGGCTAGGAGGGGTACAAGGGGGAGCCTGGGGAGAAAGGGGGACCAGAAGTCTGAAATAGACTCGAGCACAGCTGGTACGGCTCTCACAGACTGTGATTTCCACCGCGGGCCCAGCGGGCAGGAGCCGAGCTCTGGGGAGGGGGTGCCTGACAATGCCCTTGCTCACCCAGAGGGGCTCTGCCCAGGTCCTGTGCATCAGGATGGGAGAAAGGGCTGTGGCAGCACAGGGCCAAGGGCCAAGAGCCAACCCAGGTGCGCCAGGTGTGAGGTACGGACAGCTGTTGTCTGGGGCAGACAAGGTGGGCACTGTGGTGGGGATCCCCTTCCGTGTGCCCCTCGCAGGTGGGAAGGCAGGGCCTCTGGGCTCCTGACCCTCTGATTCTTCTCTGCCCTGCAGCCTCCCCAGCGTGAACTGCCTTGGGGACCTGCCAGCCGCGGGAGAGAACATCCAGCCTGAAAACGCTGTGGGCCTGAGCCCCCTTCTGCCTCAGCTCAGCCAGGGGGAGCGGGGGTGTCCTGGCACCTCTGCCTGTCTGACCTGCGTCCTCACCCGCCACCGCTCACCAGGTGGAGCCCTCAACAGAGGGCGCTCATCGCCCAGGCCCATGGCCTGCAGCTGGGCAAGAGCCGGCGCTGATGTTTGAATGCTGCAGTTCCAGGGAGACAGAGCCGCTGGGCGCAGTTGGGGGGATGGGTGGGGTAGGGCTGGTGAGCAGGGGCCACCCTGATATCTCCCTCAGTGTCCCCGGTGCTCTCAGACAGACCCAACCAAGGCTCTCTCTGGAGTTAGGGTGAGGTCCTGCCAGGGAAACATCCCGCCCCACCCGTCCCCAGTCCCTTCACCCTCTGGTCGGGGGAGGCAGCCCTCCTTCCTGCTGCCTTGCTGGGGAAGAGTGAGGCATGAGAAACAAGAGCACAAAGCGCCCCACTATAGGAAGCACCCCCGCCCTCAAGCCCGGGTCTGCATTAACCATGCACAAATACCGGAGGGAGCCCACTATGAGCTTTTCTCAGAATTAACCCACATGACAGAGAAGGATGGGTTGGCTGGACAAAGTTAACACCTCCTGGCAGCTTGTCCTGGCTTCAGAGGACCCAGGGATCCCGGCTTCTGTGATAAGGGGCTTTGCTGCCCTTCTGCAGCCCCTGCCAAGCTACCTGAGCCCAGAGGCTCTCAGAGCACTGCAGCAGAGGCCTTGACTGGAGCCAGACCTTGAGAGCCAGGAGGGGGTCTTGGCTTGGCCCACAAGAAGCGTGGGAGAGGCCCAGGCAGAGGATGCATCCTTGCAGATTACAGTGTAGTGGAGGAAGTTTATTTACGGATGTGGGAAGAACATGGCAAGGGCCCTCAGGCTGGCCAGCAAGGGGGCAATCAGTGGACACTGAAAACAGATTCCCTGAGCCAGGTCCTAGGGAGGGCTCAGGAACCAGCTTGGGTGTGTGTGTCGTGGTGGTGCGAGGCAGCGGTGGGGTAGGGGGTGGGCCAGAACCTAAAGGGCAGAAAGCATGGTGCCAGATTCCCCCCGGTTTCCACCTCAAATTCAAAGAAAACAGGGAAGGATCTGAGGGTTGTGTGTGACCCCAAAGGAGCCCCTAAGGCACAGTGGCAGAGGGACTGCTCAGGCCTCATCTCCAGGAAATTCCATCACTACTTCGGGACTGGGCACCATGTCAGCTATCACAGAGGCAGCTCGCCCAGGCCCAGCATGCTGGGCCAGAGGCCCTCGACCTTGACTGCCCTCTGCTCCTGGGCTGCTGGTCTCTTCCTCATTCAGGTTCCCTCAGCAGGGTCACCAGCTCCTTCTGTTCTCTGTGGAGAGCCTGACCTCAATGGGAGAGAACAGATGAGTTGGGAGATGAGAAAATCCACACCTTTACCTCCACTCGTCTTGACTTCAGGCCTGGGTATCCCCAGGGTGATGTGACAGAGGTCTAGAGCTCCTGTCACCGGCGCATCAGGGCATGTTAGGACCAAGCCATATTAGGAAGTCCCCTGCTCACAGGTATTTATGGCAGGCTGCGTGCCTTGGCTACTTAGGCTGGGCCCCCCAGAACACAGTCCATCTTTACTAAGGGTCCCCAAAGTACGCTCCTGATCTTCTGACCCTACTAAAGATTTCTAGCAGAGTAAAGTTTATTGAATTAAGTGGATTTTCAGTTGGGCTACAGACGTGGAATCTGTGGTGGAAAAGAGCCCTCTGAAGCTCCCACACAGGGCTCAGTACTGAACACTCAATCCAGTGACCCACTTCTAACAGTGGTTAGGATCGGTAGCTACAATGGCTGAGGTGTGGCTCTAAGAGCAGGGGCTTTGTTCCCCCTTTTAAGATAGATGCATTGAATGTTAGAGCTGGCAGGACCTGAGAATCATTATTTGGCCAATTTGGAAGCCATGGCGCAGACAGGAGAGTGACCCATGGCCTCATGGTGATGGAGTAGTAATGGTCTTGCCTGAGGGCTCAGCAGGGTGGTCCTAAGAATGCCTGGGACACAACTTTGAGCTGTGGAACCTGCCTCACAAGACAGCATAGGCTGGGGGCCTTGGTCACCACCACCTTGGTCCCGGCTCTCTGTGCACTAGGATGAGTCTGTTACGTGGGGAGGCTGGAGGCGTGAGGACAAGAGGAAGCAGAGAAGCCCCGCCTTTCTCCTGATGCTGGCTCTCCAAGGCTGGGGCCCTGCTCAGGCCAGGGCAGGGCCTTCAGGCTGCAGCTGACTGGTCTCAGAAAGAGAAGACCAGGGGAACGTGGAAGCCATGGACTTAGAGACCTGCAACATAAGTTGCACATCTCAATGATGGAGAGAACCCAACGGTGGTGCTACTGCTCAAGCCCTACTAGAAACCCTCTTTTGGAGCCCTATTTGGAGCCATCTCATCACTCTGTACCTATCTGAGTTGTCCAGCCTGTCACCCAATTAATTCCCCTTTATACACCAAGTTGGCCCCCAATGAGTCTGGGACACTTTAAAAAATTGAGTTCAGCCTCCAAGGACACACATCTGTTGATACACATGCTGTTTTAGATGTGCTGAAGGCTCCAGAAGTCATTCTGATGTACACGTTTTAAAGGAAATGGGCAGTGGTCACAGGTACAGGAACCACCATAGCTAGAGAGGGTTCATCCTGACTGACCTCTGGGCAAGTCACTTGCCCTCTCTGGGCCTGTTTTCTCCTCTGCTGCAGCTGGGGCCCATGTGCCTAAGGGCACTCACCTGCCAGGCCTGCTGCCGGGCCTGGACCTGCAGTTGCACCTCCTCTACCTGCCTGCGCCCAGCCAGGACGGCGTCTGCCAGCTGCCTGTTCTCGGCCTCCTGTTTCTGCACGCAGCGCCGCAAGGCATCCCGCTGCTGCAGGAGGTAGGGCGCCATCGCGCTGCACAGATCTTTCTCCGGGATCCCGCTCGGGCGCCTGCAGGGCCAGACAGGGGTGCAGGGGATGGGAGGGGGAGGACGTGTTCTGGGTGAGGGTAGTACTTCCACCCCCATCAGTGACATTCCCACCTTCAGTCTCAAATCGAGCTTGCTTTCAAGGCCTGTCCTGTGGTCCTGCTCGCTTCCTAAGACCCAACCACATGGCTCTGGCTTTTGATGGGAACTAACCTCCTCGTCCAACTTCTCTGCCCAGGAATCCACCTCTCCCCCTTCTCACTTGGACCACATCTAAGCCTTCCCAACCCCACCCCACATTCTCCTCTTGCCCACGTACTGCCCTCATCTCTTAACACTTCAGGGCTAGAGGCGCCTGTTCAGTCCCTGCCTCTAGCCTTGTGACCAAGTGCCCTGATGGTGCATCCACTCCATCAGACTGGGAGCTGGGGGGCTGGGGGCGGCAGGATGGGCCTTCCCTGGTGGACTGGCTGCCTGAAAGCAGGCTCAGACCCAGAGAGGCCCCGTCAGTGCTGGCTAATGTGGGAAGTTAAGGGAGCAACAGGCCCAGGGAGGCAAGATTATGGGGAATTCCAAATGCCCAGAATAAGGAGATGGGTGAGCTCTGATGGGCAGTGGGGTGAAAGCCACTAAGAGTCTTACAAAAAATTTCTTTCAGTTATAAAACTAAATTCTCTAAGTATTAAGGTCATAGAGCATAAAAAAATTGGAAAGCACAAAAATGGTATTTACTCCCTCCAGCCTAGGACCCGCTTCAGGCAGGAGAGGATGGCAGGAGGCAGGCACTCAGGGCCTCGTGGGCCTGGCGGCCTCTACTCCACTCCTCACCCCAGGGCCACCCACTGGCACGTCAGCACTGGGAGAGCAGGTCTCTCGTGTCCTGTCCACTGCTGAGTCTGTCATCTAAAACAGTCTGCGGCCTGCAGTAGGTGTTCCCCAAACATTGAATGACCCAATGAGTAAAAACCAGATGCCTGGGCCAGCCTGACATGACTCCCAATCTGCTGTTGGGCTCCTCCCAACCCCTACCCCTTTCTCCCATAGGCCAGACTGTCCTGAGAGGAGCTCCCTGGGGAGGTTCCCCTCAATCTGCCTCAAACTCCTGGAGAGCAGGCTCTTGCCAAGGGGCTCTCCTTCCCCAGAGGGCACCACGCAGTTCAGTTTGGGGTTGCTGTTTGGTGTCTGTCCTCTCCCGTCTCATGCATATGGGGCCATCATAAAAGCCCCTACACGATACTGGATGGCCTCTCCTCTGTGAGCCTCGCTGGGCTGGTGGAAAGACAGCACTGCTAGCCCTTCTCACCACACCCCCCGCCCTTCTCACCAGGCTGGCTCCTTGCGGTCATTGCCTTCTTCCACAATAGCATCCAAGGCATTCAAGACAGCTTCCAGGTTCCCCTCTGCCTTGATTTCAGAGATTTCCTCCTGAAGAGAAAGGAGGAAAGAACTATACTGGTACCAAACAAACCCTAGCAGAAATATGTTAAACTGCTAGCAGCACTTAAAATATTGGCTAATTTCTGCCCTGTGTCTTTATGCAAACATTCCAACTTTTCTACATGTGACTTTTATAATTAAAAAAAAAGCATAAGATGTAAAACATTAAAAAAGAGCTGGCAGTAAGCCCCTCCTCCTGCCCATCATCTCGGAGTGCTAGAGCCCTTGCCCTCATCCCCAGGCGCAGAGCACCCCTTGCTGATTCCACACATACATTCTGATGCTTAAGGGGCCCATCCTGGAGCATAATAGCATGGACATTTAACTCTCTAGAGCAATCATAGTTAAGGACAGAAATGGAATCCTGTCCTTTTTTGTATCCTCTGCAGTATGCAGTTCCAGGGAATTCAGCGTTTGTGATACGCCTCCCCTGTGCTGGGCATTGCACCAGATGCTGGATAGACAAAGAGGAGTTAGACTCAGTTCTGCTCTCAAGGTCTAGTGGGGCAGAGAACATATAAACACACACTTAAACAATTCAGGACAACAAGAGAACAGGCGTTTAAGATACCTGTGCTGTTTGGAGGGGATGAATGCCAAAGCAGCCCGCCAGGCAGAGAGGACAGTGCCGCAGACTGAGGATAGAGAGGGGATGAGAGTAAAGTCCCTGTCTTCAGGGGGCTGACAATCTGGAGACAAGACCCAAGCCAGTGGGACCTCCTGGGCTTCTTACCACTCACCCGGATAGATGTCTGCAACTGAGTTATAAACTTGTCATAGATTCGCTGTGTCATCTCAGGCTGCAAGTGGTAGAAGCGCTTGTAACAGTCAGTGAATCTCTGGTAGCTGGCGGGGAGGGGAGAAGGCAAAGGTGGGGAGGGTTAAACACACAGGCCAGCCTTCAGCTCTTGCCGGGACAGGCCCTGCCTCTCATCACAGGGCTCTAAGCCTTGTCTGCTTCATGACCCTGGTTAAAGGTAGTGGATGCGAACGTCTTTGCAGCCCCTGGCACCAAGGACGGCTACGCTCCACCACCCTCCCCGCTTCCCCTCAGCAGAGCCCCAGCTGAGTTCAGGTGTTTCCCCCTGAAGGGTGGGTCACAGTTAGGCTTTACTGGGCCTCAATCACAGGAGGGCTTGTGAGACCTCGGAGGGCTGGGTCCCACCCCGTTTCTAACAAGCTCCCAGCTGGCGCTGATGCTGCAGCTCTGGGCACTACACTCTGAGAACCTCTGGTCATGCCAGGGCCCTCATAGGGCTGCATTTGGACAGGGCACATGGCCTCTGGGAGAGGCTTCCTTACTCCTAACAAAGGCCACACAAGGAACTGATGCCCTTCCTATAGGACGTGACTATATCCAGGTGATGCCTCCAGCTCCTGGCAACGGTCGGGGCCCTGGCCCAAGGGCAGCGTTTATACCCTAAAGAGGCAGAGCAGGAAGAAGGCAAGAACCAGGGCCTCTGAGGGCATCGTCAAGCTGCCGAAAAGAAACAACCACCTGGAGCCACCCTACCTTGGGGCTTCCTGTTAGTGAGGTAGTGGATTTCTCTGTTCAAGCCATTTGAAATCAGGTCTGTCCCTGGCAGCTGAGGGCACCTCAGTGAACAACCCTCGCAGCTGGAAGGATCAGAGGGCACCCAGGATGCTCCAAGGGTTTGCTCCTCTTGGACAAAGAAACTCAAATAGGTTAAAGGAACTCTGTCGGCTGTCGCTCTCCCTCTTGCTTGTTTTCCTGCGTCTCTCTGTACACTCTCTCGGCCCCTTCCACAAATGCTTGCTGAGGGCTGCTACGTGCTGGCTGCCCACAAGGTCCTGTGTGTTCCGGAGTGCATGAGCCTAGCAGAGCCCTCCTTGGGCTTCCAGCAGATGGCAGCAAGCTGCGCAAGAATGTAGGATGGCCACAGAGAGCGCTTTGAGGGAAAAGGGCAGGGGCGGGGTGGGGCGGGATCACCTCTAAGTTGAGGGGAGGGGCGGTGAGGGAAGGCCCCTCCCAAGCAGCAAGGCTAAGTGACCTGCAGTGTTTGAGCCAACAAGTCCTCCAACACACGGAAAGCCACATCACGCTCATCCTCCTCAGCTGTGTGGGTCAGGCTGACGGGCCCCTGGACAAACGGGATCAGGTACCGGGAGCCCAAGGTGAGCCCGTACCTCACCCAGGCAGTCACTGCTGCGCCTCCGTCTCTCCTGGCTTTCTAGGCCTCCTCACCCAGCACCTGCCCCTAAACAACGTTTCTCAAACAGGTGAAGAGTAGGCACAGTGGTGTGCTGAGGAGCTCACAGAGGCTTGCAAGAGGCAACTGTTAAAATTTCAGGATATCTGTGAGCCAATTGTTAAAAGCAGCCATTATCGAAAATTGTATGACCTACAATAAAGTATATTAAAAACAACGGTACTAACTACTCGAACATAAAACTTCCAAATCATTCTACCACATTTTACTCTGCTCTCGGGCTTGTTCGTATCACCTATCCGAGGAAATACTATGTAAAGGTGTGCTGCTGCCCACCTTCTCTCAGCTCTGTACTTAGTGATGTTCTGGTGGTAATCTCAGGAGTATCTGCAGCTAGGAAAGTGGCAAACACTGCCAGTCCAGAACTTATTTCTGGAGAGCCCCTTGTAAGCACCCACCAGCACACCTCTGGGTAAGGGTGACAGAGCCCCTAACAGTTTTGACAGTACACACTGGATATTAGTGCCCGTTGGAGACTCGACCTACGTATGAAATAGAACAATACAATAGACAACGGGTGTCCTTTCAACCCTCAACAGAGCCCCAGACATCTTGTTATTGTCTTGCTGGCCCCACTCGCCACGCAGTCTGTGGCTACATGGAGGAATGTGGAGGAACACATGATGCCTGCCCAAGCGGGGCTGGAATCGAGACTAGGTAATTGTGGCTTGAGACGGGTTTGGCTTGGACACAGGAGATCCTGTTCCTCCTCCCAGGCCACTCGCCAGGACGGCCTGAGCTGGGCACACCTCTCCTCAGTTCAGGCAGCTGGCAGCAGGGGGGCCCAGGGCAGTGGGGAGGCAAATTCTGCCCACCAGGGCTGCCAGTCAACTCTTCTGGTGTCCTCCTTGGGGTTTGAGAATTCAATGGAAGGACCCCAGAAATATGCACATTTGTACAAATACATAAGCAGGGGAATATACGCTGCAAGGACACAAGGGAAGGCAGCCAGGCTGGAGGCCCAGGGCAGAGAACAGAAGGAAAGTGGTTCTGTTCTTTCCCTCCTAAGTTCCATTGAGATGTAATTGACATACAGCACTGTATAAGTTTAAGCTATATTTCATAATCATTTGACATATAATGATTACCATAGGAAGTTCAGGTAACATTCATCATCTTATATAGATAAAAAGAAATTTTTTTTCCTTGCAATGGGAACTCTGAGGACCTCCTCCGTGACAGCTTTCAAGCCCAGCACACAGCAGTGGTAACTACACATCAGACCGTACAGTACATCTCTAATATTTACTTAAGACTGGAAGTTTGTACCTTTTCACCACCTTCCTCCAGTTACTACCCCTGCCCCCCAAGGAATTCCTTTTCAACAACCAAGGCAGACTTGGGAATGGTTTGAATGCCCTGATCAATTTCCTGAAAAAATACAGTCATGAAGAAGTAGGAAAAGTGATACATCTTAAAAAGACTCAAGGCAGGCCACCCCCCAGCCCCTACATCTCAACTGTCAGGTTTTAACTTCTCAGGTGAACTGTAATATCCTCATGGATAGGGATGCCATCTGCAATATCACTCTTATCTACTGGGCACGCAGAACAGTGTTAGATACACAAGAGCACATAAGACACTCTGCAGACCAAGGAACAGGGGCTGAGCTGAGGTGTGGGCTGCTTGACCCCAGCCTGTCCCGCTCCCGGACACCTCCAGCATTCTGGACGCCTGGTTCCATGGCCTGGGCTACTTTGGCGGGGAGTCCTCCCCAAGAGCATCCTAGGGATCTCTCTGCCAGGCCCTCCTTTGCCCTCTGCTGGAACATTCTCCTGCTCTTGGCCTTCCAAGGGTACACAAGGGGCCATCCAGCTGTACACTGGCTCAGGGCACTGGTTCTGAGGACAGAATACCTGTCCTTTGGCCTGGGTTCAAATTCTCCCTCTACTACTCAACAGCTGAGTGACCTTATAAAACTTCTTCACTTTTATAACCCTCAGTTTTCTCCTCTGTCAAATGGGGATATAATTGTATCTGTAACTCACTAAATTACTGTGAGGATTAACTGAGGTTACATATATAAGGCACTTAGTGCAGTGCCTAGCACACTGAAATGCTCTGTTGTAAGCTGCAATTATAACCACTGCTCTCAAAAGAACAGTCCTCATTGCCCCCTCTGAAGTAAACAGTCACTAACTTGGCTTTCCAGAGTTGAGAAGGCAAACTTGTACCTAAGTTGCAATTCCATGTGCAGAAACCAACTCACCTGTAGGAACAATCAGCTGGCCCCATACAGAGAAAAGGCTAAATTGTGGCCCCTGAAAAGGGTTATATTTATCATCAACGAAAGTAACTTCTAAAAACTACATTTACTGGGTTTGAAAACAGAGATGACTCTTTTTTTTTCTCTTAAAAACTTAGTATGTATATCTGGGACATGCTTACTGTTTTTAAACTCACTGAAAAAGCATTTCATTTACTGCACTAAAAACTCACTCTAAATTGAGTTAATCACATAAGTTTAACTTTAGAAAAATGTGACTTATACTGAAGCCCAGAATCAAGCTCTGGTGGCTTGTCAATCTGTTGGTTTATATATGCAGATAAACTGTGCAGGAATGGAAATATGAGAGGAGCAGACAAGCCTGCTAGTTAGTGTGCCTCCTGCTGAGGGGGACACTGGCTTGCCCCAAACCCACTCCAGGGTAGCCAGCTTGCTGCCCACCTGAATGCCTACTTTACAGACCGTCCACCAGAGGGCAGGCAGGGACTGTGCTTCAGTCCGGAAAGAACTGGGAGGCAGAGAGGACAAGACAAACTGAGGCTGGGATAGATGGGTATTATCGTGACAAAAATCCATGCTCCCCACCCCCCACCCCCCACATGTACAGCTGTCCCATCTCATTGAGGAATGTCTCTCTGCTTGGACTTCTCCCCTCTCCCCTACTCAGTCCCGTATGCACTGGGCAGCCCCAGGACTGATTTGAAAGGTAAAGGGAAAAAACCCAGAGAAATGTTCCCTGATGAAAACTGTATTAAAAAGTTATCCTTTAGAAATTAATCTTAATTATATCTTTATGTTATTAGGTCTCTGGGGAAACTTAAACCTTTTATGGCGTGGAGTATTTGGAAACTGCAAGAAACTTGATACTGAGAATCTGTAATTGGGGTATTTTTTCTGAAAAAAAAAATAGGAAAAAAACTTCTGATGTGATAAATATTAGCATAAATATAAAAAGTACCATCAGATAATTATACAGTAGTTCTTATCTANTTATCCTTTAGAAATTAATCTTAATTATATCTTTATGTTATTAGGTCTCTGGGGAAACTTAAACCTTTTATGGCGTGGAGTATTTGGAAACTGCAAGAAACTTGATACTGAGAATCTGTAATTGGGGTATTTTTTCTGAAAAAAAAAATAGGAAAAAAACTTCTGATGTGATAAATATTAGCATAAATATAAAAAGTACCATCAGATAATTATACAGTAGTTCTTATCTACCAGGGATACATTCTAACAACCCTGGTGGATGTCTGAGCCTGCAGATAGTACTGAACCCTGTTTATACTGTTCATTCTTATACATACATACCTATAAAATTTATTTTATATATTAGGCACAGTAAGAGATTAACAGTAACTAATGACAGAATAATTACAATGACATGC